GATCTCACCTGCCTCCAGCGCCTGGCTGGCCATGCTCCGGCCTCCCATCACTTTGGCAAACCTCAGGTCAGCATAAACCATGCTCTGGGCCATGTGGGCAAGCGCTGGGCAAGCCTTGAGCCCTGCTGGCTCCCACCCTGCCCTTGGAACGCCTTTCTGGGGTGGTCCTGCTCCCCGGTGATTGTGCCGTCTCTCAGGGGTGCAAAGGAGAAGTGCAGCCAGCATCTGCAGAAGCAGAAGTTTGCTCTGAGCTGTAGCAGATGGGACCAGCGAGGCACAGCTACAGGGACCAGCACCCTTTCATTGGTCCCAACACCAGCGGCCCGGCCCCTCCCACGCCCCGAAAGTGCTCACGATCCTCCCGGGCATGTGGCAGGGCCAGGGCAGCACGGCCTGAGGTCAGAGCAGTGGCAGAGCCAGGATGGACCCAAATCCCTGGGCCAGGGGAGAGCTGGGGGAGAGCAGGGCCAGCCTGGACACAGGAGCACATTGCCCTGGGGACAGCCCTGTGGAGGGCTGGAAGTCTTCACGGATGCAGGTTTCCCATCCTGGCCTCTGGGAATGGGAATTTCCCCATGATGTAGTTTGTGCCGCTGCCTCTTGTCCTTTCCCTCGTCCCCTCCTAGAAGACCCCGGCTTCAGCATCGCTCCAAACCCCTCCCAGAGAGCTGCATAAAGCAATGACACCTGCTTTGCCTCCCCTTCTCCAGACCACAACCCCAGCACTAGCAGCATCTCCTCCTCGGTCCCAACCTCCAGCCCCTCAGCATCTCGGAGGTCTCTACTGAACTCTGTCCAGAGAAAGGCAGGTTTCAGAAGGGGCGTTGAGTTAGGGACCAGCAGGGCACATCTGGACATAGCCAGCTCCTGGGACAGGACTGGAGGTGTGCAGGGGTGCCGGTGGAGCACTGCATTGCAAGGCCACTCTCCATCATCTCTGCAAGAGCAGGGGAAGTCCTTCATCACTGGAGAAAGGCAAAAATCACTGCAAACTTCACAGGGGAGAGGAAGGAGGTTTGGAAAGCTAAAGGTTGAGCAGCTTCCACCCAGTCCCCAGGAAGAAGATGGAGCACATCCTCCTGGGCACGCAATGGTCCAGGCCCAGGGAGAACACGGTGGTGGCTGCGGGGAGCCCAGCGGGATTTACCAAGGGCAAGTGGCGTCTACCCAACCTGCCTGCCTGCTGCTGTGGGAGCACTGGGCTGGGGACAAGGGGAGAGCAATGGGAGCCATTTATCATGAGCCTTCGGGGTTTGGGACATGGTGCCCCGTGGTCTCCTTGCTGGCAGAGTGGGGAGATGTGGCCAGGAGGAGGGGAGAAGAGCAAGAGGTCACGCTGCAATGTGGAAACTGCTTTTAGGCATTGGGGCAAACATTTCTGCACAGCAGCGATGCTCAAACCCTGGAGCGGAGCGCAGAGAGGGGGGACCTCCATCCTGGATAGGGCCAGCCTCAGAGCCACCTGTGCCCACGTGGAAGTCGGCCCCGTTCTCCCCTGCCCCAGGGATTTGGGTCAATTCTCAGTAGGCTGAGCCCTGCAGCTCTGGCCAGCGCCCCACCCCCGAGCTGCAACGCCCCACCGCCATCCCAGGGGACCCTGAGCAGTTTCGGGGCGTGGAAGGGGTCAGGATGGTGGCGCCCGGGCCAATGGCAGGAACCTGTGCCTGTACTTTCTGCTCCCGTTTGCTGCGCCTCGCAGAAAACTTCCTTCCCACTGCCTTCCCACTGC